AGACCTGGTTTAGACCTGGTTTAGTCCTGGTTTAGTCTGGTTTAGTCCTGGTTTAGACCTGGTTTAGACCTGGTTTAGACCTGGTTTAGTCCTGGTTTAGACCTGGTTTAGACCTGGTTTAGACCTGGTTTAGTCCTGGTTTAGTCCTGGTTTAGACCTGGTTTAGACCTGGTTTAGACCTGGTTTAGACCTGGTTTAGTCCTGGTTTAGTCCTGGTTTAGACCTGGTTTAGACCTGGTTTAGTCCTGGTTTAGTCCTGGTTTAGACCTAGACCTGGTTTAGACCTGGTTTTAGACCTGGTTTAGACCTGGTTTAGTCCTGGTTTAGACCTGGTTTAGACCTGGTTTAGACCTGGTCCTGGTTTAGACCTGGTTTAGACCTGGTTTAGACCTGGTTTAGACCTGGTTTAGTTTAGTCCTGGTTTAGACCTGGTTTAGACCTGGTTTACCTGGTTTACCTAGTTTAGTCCTGGTTTAGTCCTGGTTTAGACCTGGTTTAGACCTGGTTTAGACCTGGTTTAGACCTGGTTTAGTCCTGGTTTAGTCCTGGTTTAGTCCTGGTTTAGACCTGGTTTAGACCTGGTTTAGTCCTGGTTTAGTCCTGGTTTAGTCCTGGTTTAATCCTGGTTTAGACCTGGTTTAGACCTGGTTTAGACCTGGTTTAGTCCTGGTTTAGTAGACCTGGTTTAGACCTGGTTTACCTGGTTAGACCTGGTTTAGTCCTGGTTTAGACCTGGTTTAGACCTGGTTTAGTCCTGGTTTAGTCCTGGTTTAGTCCTGGTTTAGATCTCTCTCTGTTCTTGCAGCTGCCCCCAGTGCGCCCAAAGACCTGAAGGTGGCAGAAGTGACTCGGCGACACGTTCACCTGCAGTGGGAGGCGCCGGAGCACGACGGGGGCAGCCCTGTCACCCACTACCAGATCGAGAAGAGGGAGGTGTCCCGCAAGACCTGGGCCAAAGTGAGTCACACCGGGCCAAACCGGGCCAAACCGGGCCAAACCGCACCGACAAACACACCAAAACACGCTCACATCTTCTGACGTGAAAACACCTGTGATGTTCTCCAGGTGGCCGCAGGAGTGTTGGACCTGGAGCACACGGTCACTGACGTGATGGAGGGAAAGGAGTACCTCTTCAGTGTGACGGCGTGCAACAAATGCGGCCCCGGAGAACCCGCTTACATCGATGAGCCCGTCAACGTGTCCTCTCCTGCCAGTGAGTACCCCAAAAACACCACCCGCTCCCCCTCTCCTGCCAGTGAGTACCCCAAAAACACCACCTGCTCCCCCTCCTGCCAGTGAGTACCCCAAAAACACCACCTGCTCCCCCTCTCCTGCCAGTGAGTACCCCAAAAACACCACCTGCTCCCCCTCCTGCAGTGAGTACCCAAAACACCACGCTCCCCTCTCCCTGAGCCCAAAAAAACCACCTCCCCCTCCTGCCAGTGAGTACCCCAAAAACACCACCTGCCCCCTCTCCTGCCAGTGAGTACCCCAAAAACACCACCCGCTCCCCTTCCTGCCAGTGAGTACCCCAAAACACCACCGCTCCCCCTCCTGCCAGTGAGTACCCCAAAAACACCACCCGCTCCCCCTCCTGCCAGTGAGTACCCAAAAACACCACCTGCCCCCCCTCCTGCCAGTGAGTACCCAAAAACACCACCCGCTCCCCCTCCTGCACTGAGTACCCAAAAACACCACCTGCTCCCTTCCTGCCAGTGAGTACCCCAAAAACACCACCCGCTCCCCCTCCTGCCAGTGAGTACCCCAAAAACCCACCCCCCCCCTCCTGCCAGTGAGTACCCCAAAACACCACCCGCTCCCCCTCCTGCCAGTGAGTACCCCAAAAAAAACACCACCCCTGCCCCCCTCCTGCCAGTGAGTACCCAAAAACACCACCCGCTCCCTCTCCTGCCAGTGAGTACCCCAAAAAACACCACCCGCAGTGAGTCCCCCCTCCAGTGAGCCTACCCCTGCCTCCTGCCAGTGAGTACCCCAAAAAACCACCCGCTCCCCCTCCTGCCAGTGAGTACCCCAAAAACACCACCCGCCCCCCCTCCCCCTGCAGTGAGTACCCCAAAAACACCACCCGCTCCCCTCCTGCCAGTGAGTACCCCAAGTACCCCCACCCGCTCCCCCTCCTGCCACGTGCAGTACCCAAAAAACACCACCCGCCCCCCCTCCTGCCAGTGAGTACCCCAAAAACACCCACCCGCTCCCCTCCTGCCAGTGAGTACCCCAAAAACACCACCCGCCTCCCCTCTCCTGCCAGTGAGTACCCCAAAAACACCACCCGCTCCCTTCCTGCCAGTGAGTACCCCAAAAACACCACCGCTCCCCTCCGCCTCCCCTCCTGCCAGTGAGTACCCCAAAAACACCACCCGCCCCCCTCCTGCCAGTGAGTACCCCAAAAACACCCCCAAAACACCACCCGCCCCCTCCTGCCAGTGAGTACCCCAAAACACCACCCGCTCCCCCTCCTGCCAGTGAGTACCCCAAAACACCACCCGCTCCCCCTCCTGCCAGTGAGTACCCCAAAAACACCACCCCCAAATGTCATCGTCACGGTAACAGCCCCAGCGCCGGCGGCCATGTTGTGTTTGTATTAACCCTGATGCCCTCCCAAACCCGCAGCGGTGCCCGACCCCCCGGAGAACCTCAAGTGGAGGGACAAGTCGGCCAAGTCCATCTTCCTGCTGTGGGAGCCTCCAAAATACGACGGCGGTGCCCCCCTCAAAGGTTACATCATCGACAAGTGCCAACGAGGAACCGACAAGTGGGAACCGTGTGGAGACCCCATCACGGAACTCAAGTGAGACCCAGAGACCGGACCAGAGACCAGAGACCGGACCAGAGACCGGACCAGAGACCGGACCAGGACCGGACCAGGACCAGAGAGAAGAGACAGAGACCAGAGACCGGACCAGAGACCAGAGACCGGACCAGAGACCGGACGAGACAGGAGACCGGACCAGAGAGACAGAGACTAGAGACAGAGACAGAGAGAGACCGGACCAGAGAGACTAGAGACGGACCAGAGACCAGAGAGGACCAGAGACTGAGACCAGAGACCGGACCAGAGACCGGACAAGACGGACCAGAGACCCTAGAGACCAGAGACCGAGACCTGAGACCAGAGACCAGAGACCAGAGACCGGACCAGAGACCGGACCAGAGACCGGACCAGAGACCAGAGACCAGAGACAGAAGACCAGAGACAGAGACCAGAGACTGAGACCAGAGACCAGAGACCAGAGACCTAGAGACCAGAGACCGGACCAGAGACCGGACCAGAGACTAGAGAGACCAGAGACCGGACCAGAGACTAGAGACCAGAGACCGGACCAGAGACCGGACCAGAGACCAGAGACCAGAGAGACCAGAGACCAGAGACCAGAGACCAGAGACCAGAGACCAGGACCAGAGGACCGAGACCAGAGAGACCGGAGACCCAGAGACCAGAGACCAGAGACTGACCGGACCAGAGACGGACCAGAGACAGAGACCAGAGACCGGACCAGAGACTAGAGACCAGAGACCTAGAGACCAGAGACCAGGACCAGAGACTAGAGACAGAGACGAGACCAGAGACCGGACCAGAGACCGAGACCAGAGAGACCAGAGACCGGACCAGAGACCTAGAGAGACCAGAGACCGGACCAGAGACTAGAGACCAGAGACCGGACCAGAGACCAGAGACCAGAGACCAGAGAGACCAGAGACCAGAGAGACCAGAGACTAGACCGGACCAGAGACCGGACCAGAGACCAGAGACCGAGAGACCAGAGAGACCAGAGACTCAGAGAGACCAGAGACCGGACCAGAGACCGGACCAGAGACCGGACCAGAGACTAGAGACCAGAGACCGGACCAGAGACCCAGAGAGACCTAGAGACCAGAGACCGGACCAGAGACCGGACCAGAGACCGAGACAGACCAGAGACCAGAGACCAGAGACCAGAGACTAGAGACTAGAGAGAGACCGGACCAGAGACCGGACCTGAGACTAGAGACCAGAGACCAGAGACCAGAGACCAGAGAGAGACCAGAGACCGGACCCAGAGACCGGACCAGAACCTAGAGACCAGAGCCGGACAGAGACTAGAGACCAGAGACCGGACCAGAGACCAGAGACCAGAGACCAGAGACCAGAGACCAGAGACCAGAGACCAGAGACCAGAGACCAGAGACCAGAGACCAGAGACCAGAGAGACCAAGAGACCGGAGACCAGAGACTAGAGACCAGAGACCAGAGACCAGAGACCGGACCAGAGACTAGAGACCAGAGACCGGACCAGAGACTAGAGACCAGAGACTAGAGACCAGAGACCGGACCAGAGACCGGACCAGAGACTAGAGACAGAGACCAGAGACCGACCAGAGGAACCAGAGACTAGAGACAGAGAGACCAGAGACCAGAGACCAGAGACCGGACCAGAGACCGGACCAGAGAGAGACCAGAGACCTAGAGACCAGAGACCGAGACCGGACAGAGACCAGAGAGAGACCAGAGACCGGACCAGAGACCAGAGACCAGAGACCGAGACCAGAGACTAGACCAGAGACCGGACCAGAGACCGGACCAGAGACCGGACCAGAGACTAGAGACCAGAGACCGACCAGAGACTAGAGACCAGAGACCGGACCAGAGACCTAGAGACCAGAGACCGGACCAGAGACCGGACCAGAGACTAGAGACCAGAGACCGGACCAGAGACCAGAGACCGGACCAGAGACCGGACCAGAGACTAGAGACCAGAGACCGGACCAGAGACCAGAGAGACCGGACCAGAGACCAGAGACCAGAGACCGGACCTAGAGAGACTAGAGACCAGAGACCGACCAGAGACCAGAGACCGGAGACCAGAGACCAGAGACCGGACCGGACCAGAGACCGGACCAGAGACCTAGAGACCAGAGACCGGACCAGAGACCGGACCAGAGACTAAGAGACCAGAGACCGGACCAGACCGGACCAGAGGAGAGACTAGAGACTAGAGACCAGAGACCGGACCAGAGACTAGAGACCAGAGAGACCGGACCAGAGACCGGACCAGAGACCAGAGACTAGAGACCAGAGACCGGACCAGAGACCAGAGACCAGAGACAGACCGGACCAGAGACTAGAGACCAGAGACCAGAGACCAGAGACCAGAGACCGGACCTAGAGACCAGAGACCGGACCAGAGACTAGAGACCAGAGACCGGACCGACCGAGACAGAGACCGGACCAGAGACCGGACCAGAGACTAGAGACCAGAGACCGGACCAGGACCAGAGACTAGAGACCAGAGACCAGAGACCAGAGACCGAGACCAGAGAGACCGGACCAGAGACAGAGAGACCGGAGAGACCGGACCAGAGACCAGAGACCAGAGACCGGACCGGACCTAGAGACCAGAGAGACCAGAGACTAGAGACCAGAGGACCAGAGAGACCCAGAGACCGGACCAGAGACTAGAGACCAGAGACCGGACCAGAGAGAGACCAGAGACTAGAGACCGAGACCAGACCGGACCAGAGACCAGACCGGACCTGAGACCAGACCAGAGACCAGAGACCAGAGACCACCAGAGACCGGACCAGAGACTAGAGACCAGAGAGACCGAGACCAGAGACCGGACCAGAGACCGGACCAGAGACCGGACCAGAGACCAGAGACCAGAGACCTAGAGACCAGAGACCGGACAGAGACAGAGACCGGACCAGGAGACCGACCAGACCGGACCAGAGACCAGAGACTAGAGACCAGAGAGACCGGACCGAGACAGAGACTAGAGACCGACCAGAGACCGAGACCGGACCAGAGACCAGACCAGACCGGACCAGAGACCGGACCAAGAGACCAGGACCAGAGACTAGAGAGACCAGAGACCGGACCAGAGACTAGAGACCAGAGACCGGACCAGAGACCGGACCAGAGACCTAGAGACCGGACCAGAGACCAGAGACCGGACCAGAGACTAGAGACCAGAGACTAGAGACCAGAGACCAGAGACCTGAGACTGGAGACCAGAGACCAGACCAGAGGACGAGAGACCAGAGACCTAGAGACGGACCAGAGACCGGACCGGAGACTAGAGACCAGAGACCGGACCAGAGACCGGACTAGAGACCAGAGAGGACCCTAGAGACCAGAGACCGGACCTGAGACTGACCTGAGACTAGAGACCAGAGACCGGACTGAGACTGAGACTAGACCGGACCAGAGACCGGACCAGAGACTAGAGACCAGAGAGAGACCGGAGACTAGAGACCAGAGACCAGAGACCAGAGACTAGAGACCAGAGACTAGAGACCAGACCAGAGACCGGACCTGAGACTAGAGACCAGAGACCGGACCGGAGACTAGAGACCAGAGACCAGACCAGAGACCGGACCGGAGACTAGAGAGACCGGACCAGAGACCTAGGACCAGAGACCGGACCAGAGACCGGACCGGAGAGACCAGAGACCAGAGACCGGACCGGAGACTAGAGACCAGAGACCGGACCGAGACCTAGACCGGACCAGAGACCGGACCAGAGACCGGACCGGAGACTAGAGACCAGAGACCGGACCTGAGACTAGAGACCAGAGACCGGACCAGAGACCGGACCAGAGACCGGACCAGAGACCGGACCAGAGACCGGACCAGAGACCTAGAGACCAGAGACTAGAGACAGAGACAGAGACCAGAGACCGATGAGACCGACCAGAGACCGACCAGAGACCGGACCAGAGACGGACCGACCGGACCGAGACCGGACGGAGACTAGAGACAGACCAGAGACCGGACCAGAGACGGACAGAGACCGGACCAGGACCAGAGACCGGACCAGAGACCGGACCGGACCGAGACCAGAGAGACCGGACCAGAGACCGGACCAGAGACCGGACCAGAGACCGGACCAGAGACCGGACTGGAGACCAGAGACCGAGAGACCAGAGAGACCAGACCAGAGACCAGAGACCGGACCAGAGACCGGACCAGAGACCGGACCAGAGACCGGACCAGAGACCGGACTGGAGACCAGAGACCGGACCAGAGATTGAACTTGTGTGTAACTGTTGTTCTCTCAGGTTCCAGGTGAAGGGTCTCATCGAGGGCCAGTGGTACTCGTACAGAGTCAGAGCCATGAACCGTCTGGGAGCGAGTCGCCCGAGCAGAGCCACGGACGAGATCCAGGCCGTGGACGCCAGAGGTGAGAGACGGACCCGGTTCAGTCCTATTATAGTCTTGGTTCAGACCCGGTTTAGACCTGGCTCTGGTCTCTCTCTTCAGAACCTCCTCAGATCCAGTTGGACGTTAAACTTCTGGCTGGACTCACGGCTCGCGCCGGGTCGAAGATCGAGCTTCCGGCCGAAGTGTCGGGAAAACCGGACCCGAGGATCAAGTGGACCAAAGCCGACCTGGTTCTGCGCGCCGACGACCGCATCACCATGGAAACGAGCCCGGGTCACGCCAAACTGAGCATCGCCAACACCACTCGCGGCGACACCGCCACCTACATCATCGAAGCGGTGAACACGTGTGGGAGAGCCACCGCCACCGTGGACGTCAACATCCTGGGTACGAGACAGTTTAGACTGGGTTTAGACCTGGTTTAGACCTGGTTTAGACCTGGTTTAGACCGGGTTTAGACCGGGTTTAGACCCGGTTTAGACCCGGTTTAGACCCGGTTTAGACCGGTTTAGAGGTTTAGACCTGGTTTAGACCCGGTTTAGACCGGGTTTAGACCGGTTTAGACCCGGTTTAGACCCGGTTTAGACCCGGTTTAGACCCGGTTTAGACCCGGTTTAGACCCGGTTTAGACCGGGTTTAGACCTGGTTTAGACCTGGTTTAGACCTGGTTTAGACTGGTTTAGACCTGGGTTTTAGACCGGGTTTGGTTTAGACCGGGTTTAGACCTGGTTTGGGTTTAGACCTGTTTAGACCGGGTTTAGACCCGGTTTAGACCCGGTTTGGTTTAGACCCGGTTTAGACCGGGTTTAGACCTGGTTTAGACCTGGTTTAGACCCGGGTTTAGACCCGGGTTTAGACCGGGTTTAGACCGGTTTAGACCGGTTTAGACCCGGTTTAGACCCGGGTTTAGACCCGGTTTAGACCCGGTTTGGTTTAGACCTGGTTTAGACCGACCGGGTTTAGACCGGGTTTAGACCCGGTTTAGACCGGGTTTAGACCGGGTTTAGACCCGGTTTAGACCCGGTTTAGACCCGGTTTAGACCCGGTTTAGACCCGGTTTAGACCCGGTTTAGACCCGGTTTAGACCTGGTTTAGACCTGGTTTAGACTGGGTTTAGACCTTGTTTTATTCAAAATTTAAAACTTGTTTCATGTATGTTTTTATTTTTGGAGTCTTCCTTAGTCCTGGTTTAGTCCTGGTTCTAGTCCTGGTCTGTGTCCTCAGATAAACCGGGTCCTCCCGCTGCCTTCGACATCTCGGAGGTGACGAGCGAGTCGTGCGTGTTGGCGTGGAACCCGCCGCGGGACGACGGCGGCTCGCCCATCACCAACTACATCGTGGAGAGTCGCGACACGACCAAAGAAGAGTGGGTGAAGCTGTCGGCGACGGTGAAACACACCACGTTCACCGCCACCAAACTCACCGCGCTGCGCGAGTACGTGTTCCGCATCAGCGCTGAGAACCAGTACGGCATCGGAGCGCCCGCCGAGCACACGCCCATCGTCGCCAAGTACTCCTTCGGTACGTGCTGGGTTCAGACCCGATTCAGACTTTGTTCAGTCCTGGTTCAGTCCTGGTCTCACCCCTGGTCTCTCCTCTCCACAGACCCGCCTGGTCCGCCCACGCGGGTGACGCCCTCAGACGTGGCGCGGGATGCGGTGACTCTGTCGTGGTTCGAGCCGGACGAGGACGGCGGCTCGCCCATCACCGGGTACTGGGTCGAGAAGTTTGACCCGGACAGTGACAAGTGGGTCCGCTGCAACAAGCTGCCCATCAAGGACACCAGCTTCAGGTCAGGACGGGGTAGACCTGGTTTAGTCCTGCTTTAGTCCTGCTTTAGTCCTGCTTTAGTCCTGGTTTAGTCCTGCTTTAGTCCTGGTTTAGTCCTGCTTTAGTCCTGCTTTAGTCCTGCTTTAGTCCTGGTTTAGTCCTGCTTTAGTCCTGGTTTAGTCCTGCTTTAGTCCTGGTTTAGTCCTGCTTTAGTCCTGCTTTAGTCCTGCTTTAGTCCTGCTTTAGTCCTGGTCTAACCTCTCTCTTTCTGGACTTCAGGGTGAAGGGTCTTCCCACCAAGAAGAAGTTCCGTTTCAGGGTTTTGGCCGAGAACTTGGCCGGACCCGGAAAAGCCAGTGACGAGACTGACCCAGTCCTGATCAAGGACCCCATCGGTGAGTCTCAGAGACCTGCTGTAGACCTGATTTAGTCCTGTTTTAGTCCTGGTCCTGACCCTCTCTGTCCCTTAGACCCACCCTGGGCCCCTGGCAAGCCGGTGGTGCGTGACGTGGGTAAGACGATGGTGACGTTGGCGTGGACGCGGCCGGAACACGACGGAGGAGCGAAGATCGAGGGCTACGTCCTGGAGCTGCAGAAGAGCGGCTCCGAGGACTGGATCCGAGCGGCTGAAGACATTCCTCAGACAGAACACGTCCTCAAAGACCTGAAGGAGAAACAGGAGTACACCTTCAGAGTCCGAGCCGTGAACCGAGCCGGCGAGAGCGAACCCAGCGATCCCAGCGAGAAGGTGGTGTGCAAGGAGCGCCTCTGTGAGTACTGCCAATAATACGAGTACTACAAGTACTACAAGTACTACAAATACTACAGATACTACAAATACTGCAAATACCAGTACTCCTCCTCCTCACCCGTCTCTCCTCTCCACAGACGTGCCCTCGCCGCCTCAGTGGTTGGAGGTCGCCGGTATCTCCAAGACGGCGGCGGACCTGAAGTGGCAGTTGCCGAGCAGCGACGGCGGCTCACCCATCACGAACTATGTGGTGGAGAAACGCGACGTGAGGAGGAAGGCGTGGCAGACGGTGGACACCACGGTGAAGGAGCTCAAGTACAGCGTGACTCCTCTGAACGAAGGCTCGCTCTACGTCTTCAGAGTCGCCGCCGAGAACGCCGTCGGCATGTCCGAGTTCTGCGAGCTGGAGGACGCCGTGCTCGCCAAAGACACTTTCAGTAAGAGACGCACCAAACACACGACGTACCAAACGTATGACGCACCAAACACGCCAAACGCACGACCTACCAAATGCACAACACAAACCTCAGACCTCTGACCTCTGACCTGTGTCATCCGCAGCGACCCCTGGACCGCCGTACGCTCTGACCGTGATGGAGGTGACCAAGAGACACGTGGAGCTCAAGTGGGAACCTCCACAGAGCAACGGAGGACGCCCCATCACCAAGTACGTACTACTACTACTACTACTACTACTACTGCAAATACTACTACTACTACTACTACTACTACTACTACAGTAAATACTGTTACTTCTACAAGTACCACTGTCGTACTCCTGCTGCTCATTATCATCTTATTTATAAAGCACATTTAAAACAACTTACAGTAGCTCCTGACTTTAGTCCTGTTGGAGACCTGGTTTAGACTCAGTTTAGACCTGGTTCTGATCTGGTTCTGACCTGGTTCTGACCCGGTTCCTCAGGTACGTGATAGAGAAGAAGGAGAAGCTGGGCTCTCGTTGGCTGAAGTGCTGTAAGACTCCGGACAGACAGACTCAGTTCAAAGTGACCGACGTGGACGAAGGCGCCGAGGTCCAGTTCCAGGTCCGAGCCGAGAACCAGGCCGGTGTTGGAGAACCTTCAGAACCCACTGTGGTTCTCACCATCGAGGACGCCACCAGTGAGTACCCGCCGAGTGCCCAGAGACAGTTGTAGTGAAATGAGTCTTATGGTTATGGACTAGTAGGTGGAAGTCCTGACTCTGTCCTCCCTCGCTCCCTCAGGCGTTCCGTCTCCACCCGTGGATCTCGCCGTGGTGGACGCCAGCCGTGAGCACATAAACGTGACGTGGAAGCCCCCGGTGAAGGACGGCGGCGTGCCAGTGACAGGGTACCACGTGGAGGTGTCGGAGGCGCGGCCGGAACTCAAGTGGCTGCGCGTCAACACTCGACCGGTCAAAGAGCTCACCTTCCGCATCGACGACGGCATCAAACCGGACAAGAAGTATGTGATCCGCGTCCGCGCCATCAACTCCGTGGGCGTCAGCGAGCCCTCCGACGTCACCGACAAGGTCTACACCCGCGATCCCGACTGTGAGTACCACACCTCCCGGTTTAGACGGGTTTAGTCCTGGTTTAGACCTGGTGTAGTCCTGGTCCAGTCCTGGTCCTGGTCTCAGTCCAGTCTCTCCTCAGGCGCTCCCACCCTGGAGGTCTCCTCAGATGAGGTGGTGGTGGTGGAGGGTGAGAAGCTCCACCTGGTGGTGCCGTACCGGGCGATCCCGATGCCGAAGATGGCGTGGGCGAAGGAGGAGGCGGAGCTTAAAGTGGACGACCGCCTGTCGATGACGGTGGAGATGAACGACGCCCACCTAGAGCTGCTCAAGAGCACGAGGGCAGATGCTGGGAAGTACACCATCACCCTGGAGAACGAGCTGGGCAAGGCCACGGGCACCGTGCCCGTCAAAGTCATCGGTGAGGAGAGACACTTTAGTCCTACTTAAACCCTGTTTAGACCCTGTTAGACCTGGTTTAGGCCTGGTTTAGACCCAGTTTAAACCTGGTTTAGACCCTGGTTAGACTCTGTTTTCGCCCGCAGGACTTCCGGGTCAGTGTAAGGACATCTCTTCTGCTGATGCCACTAAAAACTCGGTGGTGATGAGTTGGGTGGCGCCTGAAGACGACGGTAACACGCCCATCACTGGGTACAGCCTGGAGCGCCGCGAGGCGTCCAAGAAGACCTACGTGCCCGTCATGAGCAGCCAGAACGTCCTGACCTTCACCGTGAAGGACCTGTACATCAACTGTGAATACTACTTCAGAGTCCGAGCCCACAACCGCGTGGGCGCAGGACCCTACCTCGAACTGAGGAACCCCGTGATCACCGAGGAGATCAAACGTAAGAACACCCACCTACACCACCTACACCCACCTACACCCACCCACACCCACCCACCCACACCCACCCACACCACTACACACTACACCACCTCCACACCACCCACACCCACCTACACCCACCCACACCCCACCCACACCCACCTACACCCACCCACACCCACCCACACCCACCTACACCACCTACACCCCACCCACACCCACCTACCACCCACCCACACCCACCCACACCCACCTACACCCACCCACACCCACCTACACCCACCTACACCCACCCACACCCACCACCACCCACCACACCCACACCCACCCACACCCACCTACCCACCCACCTACACACCCACACCCACCTACACCCACCTACACACCACCCTACACCACCCACACCCACCACACCACACACCTACACCCACACCCACCTACACCCACCTACACCCACCTACACCCACCTACACCCACCCACACCCACCCACCTACACCACCTACACCACCCACCACCCACCCACACCACCACACCCACTACACCACCTACACCCACCTACACCCACCCACACTACACCCACACCCACCTACACCACCTACTACACCACCCACACCCACCCACACCCACCCACACCACACCCACCTACACCCACCCACACCCACCCACACACCACACCCACCCACCCACCACCCACCACCACCCACCTACACCCACCCACCACACCCACCCACACCCACCTACACCCACCCACCACCCACACCCACCCACCACCCACCCACACCCACCTACATCACCCACACCCACCTACACCACCTACATCCACCTACACCCACCCACCACCACACCCACCCACACCACACCCACCTACACCCACCACCACCCACCCACACCCACCCACACCCACACCCACCCACACCCACCCACACCCACCTACCACCACCTACATCCACCTACACCCACCCACACACACCCACACCCACCTACACCACCTACACCACCCACACCCACCCACACCCACCTACACCACCTACACCCACCCACACCCACCCACACCCACCCACACCCACCCACACCCACCACACCCACCTACACCACCTACATCCACCTACCACCACACCCACCAACACACCTACACCCACCCACACCCACCACACCACCCACCCACCTACACCACCTACATACCTACATCCACCTACACCACCCACACCCACCCACACCCCACCCACACCCACCCACACCCACCTACACCCACCTACACCCACCCACACCCACCCTACACCCACCCACCCACCTACACCCACCTACACACCACACACCACACCCACCTACACCCACCCACACCCACCCACACACCACCCACACCCACCTACACCACCTACACCACCTACACCCACCCACACCCACCCACACCCACCCACACCCACCCACACCCCACCTACACCCACCCACACCCACCCACACCCACCCACACCCACCTACACCCACCTACACCCACCTACACCACCTACACCCATGTATGTAAATGTAAAATTTAAAAGTTAAACCTTTTGGCGTTCTGCAGAGAAACCGGACCCGCCCGTGTGCGTGGAGGCATACGACCCCACCTCCAAGTCCATCACCGTGTCCTGGAAGGCGCCCGACTACGACGGCGGCTGCCCCATCCAGGGCTACGTGGTGGAGAAGATGGAGAAGGACGGCGACCGCTACGAGAGGGTCACGCCCAACCTGGTGCCTGGCTTCACCTACACTGTCACCGGGCTCACCGAGGGACAGGAGTACCAGTTCAGAGTCCGGGCCGAGAACGCCGCTGGGGTCAGCGAGCCGTCAAGAAGCTCAGCCATGATGAAAGCCGAAGACCCGAAAGGTGAGAGTCAGAGGGGACCTTCTCAAACTCTTGTTATTTCTCTCTTTCTTTGCTGACCTCTCGTTTCTTCTCTTGTTCCTCACAGAGAAGCCCGTGGTGTCCCTTTCCGCTCGGGTCCAGGGTGGACTCTGCGTGAAAAAGGGTGAGGAGATCCGCCTGGACGCGCTCGTGTCTGGATCGCCGTATCCCAAAATCACCTGGCTCCGAAATGAGGAGGACGTGACCAAAGAGCCGTCCAAGAAACTGGTTCCTATTGTCAAAAAGCGCAAAACCAAATCCAAGGTCCCCGAGCCCGAGCCAGAGTTCATCACCCCCCTGAGGGAGCGCCTGGGACTCGACCAGACCCGCCGGGGCCAGTCCGTGCTAATGGTCAGAGACGCTGTGAGACGCGACCATGGCGCCTTCACCGTGAGAGCCGAGAACCAACACGGGGCCGCCACCGCCACCTGCATCGTCAACGTGCTCGGTCAGTCCTTGTTCAGTCCTTTTTTAAACCTGCTTTAGTCCTGGATTAGTCCTGGTTCTGACCCGGTTCTGACTTGGTTTCTCCACAGACGTGCCTGGACCTCCTCAGAACTTCTCGTTCTCTGAGGTGAGGAACACATCTGTGGTTTGTCACTGGGAGCCTCCTGAAGACGACGGTGGTGCTGAGATTGAGAACTACATTTTAGAGAAGAAGGACAATCGCAACGAGGAGATGGGCTGGATCACCATCACCTCCACCCTCAAGGTACCTCCACCCAACACCTCCACCCATCACACTTTCACCTCCACCCAACACCTCCACCCATCACACTTTCACCTCCACCATCACACCACCTCCACCCACACCTCCACCCATCACACTTTCACACCTCCACCCAACACCTCACCCATCACACACCTCCACCCATCACACTTTCACCTCCACCAACACCTCCACCCATCACACTTTCAACTCCACCACACACACACCTCCACCCAACACCTCCACCCATCCACACACTTTCACCTCCACCCAACACCTCCAACCCATCACACTTTCACCTCCCCCAAACACCTCCACCCAACACTTTCACTCCACCCAACACCTCCACCATCACACTTTTCACCTCCACCCATCACACTTCCACCTCCACCCACACCTCCACACCCATCACACTTTCACCTCCACACCATCCACTTTCACCTCCACCCATCACACATTCACCTTCACACATTCACCTCCACCCAACACCTCCACCCATCACACTCACCTCACCCAACACCTCCACCCATCCACCCACACACTTTCACCTCCACCAACACCTCCACCCATCACCACACTTTCACCTCACCCATCCACCTCCACCACCTCCACACCACCGCTCCACCCATCACACTTTCACCTCCACCCAACACCTCCACCCATCACACTTTCACCTCCACCCAACACCTCCACCCATCACACTTTCACCTCCACCCATCACACCTCCACCCATCACACTTCACCTCCACCCAACACTCACCCATCACACATTCACCTCCACCCACCTCACACACACTTTTCACCTCCACCCAACACCTCCACCCATCACACTTTCACCTCCACCCAACACCTCCACCCATCACACTTTCACCTCCACCCAACACCTCCACCCATCACACTTTCACCTCCACCCAACACCTCCACCCATCACACTTTCACCTCCACCCAACACCTCCACCCATCACACATTCACCTCCACCCAACACCTCCACCCATCACACTTTCACCTCCACCCAACACCTCCACCCATCACACATTCACCTCCACTCTGAAGTTCCTCCTCTTCTTGTTTAGGGCACATCGTTCCTCGTGCCGAAACTCATCGAGGGTAAGGAGTACATCTTCAGAGTCACAGCAGAAAACAAGATGGGCACCGGCGCCTCCTGCATCTCCGAACCCATGGTCGCCAAGAACATGTTCGGTAAGACCTGGTTTAGACCTGGTTTAGCCCTAGTTTAGACCTAGTTTAGTCCTGGTTTAGACCTGGTTTAGTCCTGGTTTAGACCTGGTTCTGCCCTCTCGCCCTCAGACCCGCCTGATGCCCCGAACACGCCACGGGTGCAGGAGGTGACGGCATCCAGTGCCAAACTGTCGTGGCACGAGCCCAAAGACAACGGCAGCCCGATCCTCGGCTATTGGATCGAGAGGAAGGAGGTGAACAGCAAACACTGGACCCGGGTGAACCGCGCCCTCCTCAACGCCCTGGAGGTCCGGGTCCAGGGTCTGCAGGAGGGACTCACCTACATCTTCAGAGTCTGCGCCGAGAACTTAGCCGGACCCGGACCCTTCAGCGAGCCGTCTGACCGAACCGTCGCCATGGACGCCATCTGTGAGTCACCGAGGGTCAGACGGGTTTAGACCTGGTTTAGTCCTTGTTTAGTCCTGGTCCATTCCTGGTCCAGTCCTGGTCTCACTCTGGTCTCTCCTCAGTGCCTCCTGGACCTCCGATACCTCGGGTCGTGGACACAGGAAAAGACTTTGTGATTTTGTCGTGGAAACCGCCTCTGTACAATGGAGGAGGAGACATCTCTGGGTACCACGTGGAGAAGGTCTGTACACCTGTCCTCACCTGTCCTCACCTGTCCTCACCTGTCCTCACCTGTCCTCACCTGTCCTCACCTGTCCTCACCTGTCCTCACCTGTCCTCACCTGTCCTCACCTGTCCTCACCTGTCCTCACCTGTCCTCCTGTCCGCAGATGATCGTCGGGGAGAAGGAGTGGAAACGTGCGACGGAACATCGTTGTAAAGATTTGACCTTCACTCCGACCGGTTTGACTGAAGGCGCTGATTATTATTTCCGTGTGATGGCGGTGAACGAGGCTGGACTCGGAGCGCCGGGAACCACCGACCCGGTGACCGTCAAGGAGCCAGAGGGTGAGGCCATAGGAGCACTAGTCCTGCTTTGGTCCTAGTGTAGTCTTGGTTCAGTTTTGGTTTAGTCCTGGTTCCCTGACCCTTGCCCCCTTCCGTCTTCAGAGTCCCCGTCAGTGGAGTTGGACGCCTCCGTGCGTAATGGCGTGATCATTCGTGCCGGCGAGCCGCTGCGTCTGCCGGCTGTGGTGACCGGACGCCCGCAGCCCACCGTCAAATGGACCAAAGAGGAGGCCGACCCGGATCCGGAGCGGGTCCAGGTGGAGACGCAGGGCAAAAACACCGCCCTCTTCATCAAAGTGACCACCAGAGCCGATCACGGCAAATACACCGTCACGGGCACCAACACCGGTGGCACCAAGAGCGCCGAAACACGCGTCGACGTCATGGGTGAGGCTGAGTCTGGGTTAGACCGGGTTTATGCCCTTTAAAGTCCTGGTTTAGTCCTGGTTTAGTCCTGGTTTAGTCCTGGTTTAGTCCTGGTTTAGTCCTGGTTAAGTCCTGGTTTGTGTCTCAGATGTTCCTGGGCCGGTTGTGGACCTCAAAACGGTGCAGGTGACAAAGAAGAACATCACGCTGGTGTGGAAGGACCCGGTGGACAACGGCGGCAGCGACATCATGGGCTACGTGGTCCTGAGGAAAGATTCCAACATGAAGCTTTTCCGGCAGCCGCTGGAGACGGCGTCGTGCAAGTGCGACGTTCAGGGGCTCCTCGCCAACGAGAGCTACGACTTCAGAGTCATCGCACGCAACAAGTACGGCGACGGAGTGCCCTCCGACCTGGGGCCCATCGTCGCCGAGGACCCCAAAGGTGAGGAACACGTCACAAACGCAGGGCCCACATTACGAGGCTCCGCCCACACCCCCACAGTACGAGGCTCCGCCCACAAGCCTACATCACCTGAAGTAAACGCCCCTTTTTAATACCCCACAGAGGTAAATGCCCGTTTTCTCTCTCGTAGGAACCCCGTCGGCGCCTGAGAAGCTGCACTACACCGACCGCGGTAAGACGACGGTGTCCCTGGCGTGGCAGCCGCCGCGCTGGGACGGGGGCAGCCCCATCACCGGGTACTACGTGGAGAAGATGAGGTCGGACAGCACAGAGTTCGACGTGGCCCACAGAAAGATCTTCACCGAGTGCCACGGGACCATCGAGAACCTGTCCGAGGGCCAGGAGTACCAGTTCAGAGTGAAGGCCGTGAACGAGGTCGGCGACGGAGAACCCAGCAAACCCATCACCGCCAAGATCCAGGATGACGAGAGTGAGGCCGGGTTTAGACCTGCTTTAGTCCTGGCTTACATCTGGTTTAGTCCTGGTTCAGACCTTGTTTAGTCCTGGTTCAGTCCTGGTTCAGTCCTGGTTTTAGTCCTGTTGAGTCCTGGAGTCCTGGTGTTAGTCCTGGTCCTGGTTTAGTCCTGGTTTAGTCCTGGTCCAGTCCTGGTTTAGTCCTGGTTTAGTCCTGTTAGTCCTGGTCCAGTCCTGGTTCAGTCCTGGTTTAGTCCTGGTTCAGTCCTGGTTTAGTCCTGGTTTCCAGTCCTGGTTTAGTCCTGGTCCAGTCCTGAGTCCTGAGTCCTGGTTAGTCCTGGTTAGTCCTGGTTGAGTCCTGTTTAGTCCTGGTCCAGTCCTGGTTCAGTCCTGGTTTAGTCCTGGTTAGTCCTAGTTTTAGTCCTGGTTGAGTCCTGGTTTTAGTCCTGGTTTAGTCCTGGTTCAGTCCTGGTGGTTTAGTCCTGGTTTAGTCCTGGTTTAGTCCTGGTCCTGTAGTCCTGGTGTAGTCCTGGTTCCAGTCCTGGTTCAGTCCTGGTTTAGTCCTGGTTTAGTCCTGGTTAGTCCTGGTTGAGTCCTGGTGTTAGTCCTGGTTTAGTCCTGGTTTCAGTCCTGGTTTAGTCCTGGTTTAGTCCTGGTTTAGTCCTGGTTTAGTCCTGGTTAGTCCTGGTAGTCCTGAGTCCTTTAGTCCTGGTTTAGTCCTGGTTCAGTCCTGGTTTAGTCCTGGTTCAGTCCTGGTTTAGTCCTGGTTTAAGTCCTGGGTCCTGGTTGAGTCCTGGTTGAGTCCTGGTTTAGTCCTGGTTGAGTCCTGGTTGAGTCCTGGTTGAGTCCTGGTTTAGTCCTGGTTCAGTCCTGGTTCAGTCCTGGTTCAGTCCTGGTTTAGTCCTGGTTGAGTCCTGGTCCAGTCCTGGTGTAGTCCTGGTTCAGTCCTGGTTTAGTCCTGGTTGAGTCCTGGTTGAGTCCTGGTTTAGTCCTGGTTGAGTCCTGGTTGAGTCCTGGTTTAGTCCTGGTTTAGTCCTGGTTAGTCTGGTTGATAGTCCTGGTTAGTCCTGGTTGAGTCCTGGTTGGAGTCCTGGTTGAGTCCTGGTTGAGTCCTGGTTTAGTCCTGGTTCCTGGTTTAGTCCTGGTTAGTCCTGGTTGAGTCCTGGTTGAGTCCTGGTGGTTAGTCCGTTGGTAGTCCTGGTTGAGTCCTGGTCCTGAGTCCTGGTTTAGTCCTGGTTTAGTCCTGGTTTAGTCCTGGTTGAGTCCTGGTTTAGTCCTGGTTGAGTCCTGGTTCAGTCCTGGTTTAGACCTGGTTTAGTCCTGGTTTAGTCCTGGTTTAGTCCTGGTTTGAGTCCTGGTTGAGTCCTGGTTTAGTCCTGGTTTAGTCCTGGTTTAGTCCTGGTTGAGTCCTGGTTCAGTCCTGGTTCAGTCCTGGTTGAGTCCTGGTTGAGTCCTGGTTCAGTCCTGGTTGAGTCCTGGTTTAGTCCTGGTTCAGTCCTGGTTTAGTCCTGGTTTAGTCCTGGTTGAGTCCTGGTTTAGTCCTGGTTGAGTCCTGGTTTAGTCCTGGTTTAGTCCTGGTTGAGTCCTGGTTTAGTCCTGGTTTGAGTCCTGGTTTAGTCCTGGTTTAGTCCTGGTTGAGTCCTGGTTTAGTCCTGGTCCTGGTTGAGTCCTGGTTGAGTCCTGGTTTAGTCCTGGTTCAGTCCTGGTCCTGGTTGAGTCCTGGTTTAGTCCTGGTTCAGTCCTGGTCCTGGTTGAGTCCTGGTTCAGTCCTGGTTCAGTCCTGGTTGAGTCCTGGTTTAGTCCTGGTTTAGTCCTGGTTCAGTCCTGGTTCAGTCCTGGTTTAGTCCTGGTTTAGTCCTGGTTTAGTCCTGGTTGAGTCCTGGTTGAGTCCTGGTTTAGTCCTGGTTTAGTCCTGGTTGAGTCCTGGTTGAGTCCTGGTTTAGTCCTGGTTTAGTCCTGGTTGAGTCCTGGTTTAGTCCTGGTTGAGTCCTGGTTTAGTCCTGGTTTAGTCCTGGTTTAGTCCTGGTTGAGTCCTGGTTTAGTCCTGGTTGAGTCCTGGTTGAGTCCTGGTTGTCCTGGTTAGTCCTGGTTGAGTCCTGGTTGGAGTCCTGGTTGAGTCCTGGTTCAGTCCTGTTGAGTCCTGGTTTAGTCCTGGTTTAGTCCTGGTTTCAGTCCTGGTTTCAGTCCTGGTCCTGGAGTCCTGGTTTAGTCCTGGTCCTTTAGTCCTGGTTGAGTCCTGGTTTAGTCCTGGTTTAGTCCTGGTTGAGTCCTAGTCCTGGTTAGTCCTGGTTAGTCCTGGTTTAGTCCTGGTCCTGGTTAGTCCTGGTTGAGTCCTGGTTGAGTCCTGGTTGAGTCCTGGTTTAGTCCTGGTTTAGTCCTGGTTTAGTCCTGGTTAAGTCCTGGTTTAGTCCTGGTCCTGGTTTGAGTCCTGGTTTAGTCCTGGTTTAGTCCTGGTTCCAGTCCTGGTTTAGTCCTGGTTTTTAGTCCTGGTTAGTCCTGGTTGAGTCCTGGTGAGTCCTGGGTCCTGGTTAGTCCTGGTTTAGTCCTGGTTTGAGTCCTGGTTGAGTCCTGGTTGAGTCCTGGTTGAGTCCTGGTTTAGTCCTGGTTGAGTCCTGGTTTAGTCCTGGTTTAGTCCTGGTTTAGTCCTGGTTGAGTCCTGGTTGAGTCCTGGTTGAGTCCTGGTTGAGTCCTGTTTAGTCCTGGTTGAGTCCTGGTTTAGTCCTGGTTTAGTCCTGGTTTAGTCCTGGTTTGAGTCCTGGTTGAGTCCTGGTTGAGTCCTGGTTGAGTCCTGGTTGAGTCCTGGTTTAGTCCTGGTTGAGTCCTGGTTCAGTCCTGGTTTAGTCCTGGTTAGTCCTGGTTTAGTCCTGGTTTAGTCCTGGTTGAGTCCTGGTTGAGTCCTGGTTGAGTCCTGGTTGAGTCCTGGTTTAGTCCTGGTTTAGACCTGGTTTAGTCCTGGTTGAGTCCTGGTTGAGTCCTGGTTGAGTCCTGGTTTAGTCCTGGTTGAGTCCTGGTTGAGTCCTGGTTTAGTCCTGGTTTAGTCCTGGTTTAGTCCTGGTTTAGTCCTGGTTGAGTCCTGTTTGAGTCCTGTTTAGTCCTGGTTTAGTCCTGGTTTAGTCCTGGTTTAGTCCTGGTTGTTTAGTCCTGGTTTAGTCCTGGTTTAGTCCTGGTTTAGTCCTGGTTGAGTCCTGGTTTAGTCCTGGTTGAGTCCTGGTTTAGTCCTGGTTTAGTCCTGGTTTGAGTCCTGGTTGAGTCCTGGTTGAGTCCTGGTTGAGTCCTGGTTTAGTCCTGGTTGAGTCCTGGTTGAGTCCTGGTTGAGTCCTGGTTGAGTCCTGGTTGAGTCCTGGTTTAGACCTGGTTTAGTCCTGTTTAGTCCTGGGTTTAGTCCTGGTTTAGTCCTGGTTTGAGTCCTGGTTTAGACCTGGTTGAGTCCTGGTTGAGTCCTGGTTGGTTGAGTCCTGGTTGAGTCCTGGTTGAGTTCTGGTTTAGTCCTTGTTTAGACCTGGTTGAGTCCTGGTTTAGTCCTGGTTGGTTTAGTCCTGGTTTTAGTCCTGGTTTAGTCCTGGTTTAGTCCTGGTTTAGTCCTGGTTTAGTCCTGGTTTGAGTCCTGGTCCTGGTTTTAGTCCTGGTTGAGTCCTGGTTTAGTCCTGGTTTAGTCCTGGTTTAGTCCTGGTTGAGTCCTGGTTTAGTCCTGGTTGAGTCCTGGTTAGTCCTGGTTTAGTCCTGGTTGAGTCCTGGTTTAGTCCTGGTTGAGTCCTGGTTTAGTCCTGGTTGAGTCCTGGTTTAGTCCTGGTTGAGTCCTGGTTTAGTCCTGGTTTAGACCTGGTTTAGTCCTGGTTTAGTCCTGGTTGAGTCCTGGTTTAGTCCTGGTTTAGTCCTGGTTGAGTCCTGGTTTAGTCCTGGTTTAGACCTGGTTGAGTCCTGGTTTAGTCCTGGTTTAGTCCTGGTTTAGTCCTGGTTTAGTCCTGGTTGAGTCCTGGTTGAGTCCTGGTTTAGTCCTGGTTTAGAGTCCTGGTTGAGTCCTGGTTTAGTCCTGGTTGAGTCCTGGTTGAGTCCTGATTTAGTCCTGGTTTAGTCCTGGTTTAGTCCTGGTTTAGTCCTGGTTGAGTCCTGGTTTAGTCCTGGTTTAGTCCTGGTTGAGTCCTGGTTCAGTCCTGGTTTAGACCTGGTTGAGTCCTGGTTGAGTCCTGGTTTAGACCTGGTTTAGTCCTGGTTTAGTCCTGGTTGAGTCCTGGTTGAGTCCTGGTTTAGTCCTGGTTTAGACCTGGTTGAGTCCTGGTTTAGTCCTGGTTTAGACCTGGTTTAGTCCTGGTTTAGACCTGGTTTAGTCCTGGTTTAGAGTCCTGGTTGAGTCCTGGTTTAGTCCTGGTTTAGTCCTGTTTAGTCCTGGTTGAGTCCTGGTTGAGTCCTGGTTGAGTCCTGGTTGAGTCCTGGTTGAGTCCTGGTTGAGTCCTGGTTTAGACCTGGTTGAGTCCTGGTTGAGTCCTGGTTTAGTCCTGGTTTGAGTCCTGGTTTAGTCCTGGTTTAGTCCTGGTTTAGACCTGGTTTAGACCTGGTTTAGTCCTGGTTTAGAGTCCTGGTTGAGTCCTGGTTGAGTCCTGGTTTAGTCCTGGTTGAGTCCTGGTTGAGTCCTGGTTGAGTCCTGGTTTAGTCCTGGTTGAGTCCTGGTTGAGTCCTGGTTGAGTCCTGGTTTAGTCCTGGTTTAGACCTGGTTTAGAGTCCTGGTTTAGTCCTGGTTGAGTCCTGGTTGAGTCCTGGTTTAGTCCTGGTTGAGTCCTGGTTTAGTCCTGGTTTAGTCCTGGTTTAGACCTGGTTTAGACCTGGTTTAGTCCTGGTTGAGTCCTGGTTGAGTCCTGGTGTAGTCCTGGTTGAGTCCTGGTTGAGTCCTGGTTTAGACCTGGTTTAGACCTGGTTGAGTCCTGGTTTAGTCCTGGTTGAGTCCTGGTTTAGTCCTGGTTGAGTCCTGGTTTAGTCCTGGTTGAGTCCTGGTTGAGTCCTGGTTTAGTCCTGGTTGAGTCCTGGTTTGAGTCCTGGTTGAGTCCTGGTTGAGTCCTGGTTTAGTCCTGGTTGAGTCCTGGTTGAGTCCTGGTTTAGTCCTGGTTTAGTCCTGGTTGAGTCCTGGTTGAGTCCTGGTTTAGTCCTGGTTTAGTCTGATCTCTGATGTTCTCCGCAGTTCCTCCGTCCATCGCGATGTTGCGTTTCTTCAAGAATAACGCCCTGATCATCCGTAAAGGCGGCGCCGTGGACCTGCCCGCCGAGGTCAAGGGACTTCCTCTGCCCACGTTCACCTGGTACCGCGACGACGTGCCCATCGAGGTCAAACCCGACGACGAGAGGATGACCATGGAGTCCGAGGAGGTGGGTCCAAACCTAAACTCTCAAACTCATCACACGACATCACACGCCGTCCCACAGTTTGAGACGCCCTGACTGAACGCACTTCCCCTCCCGTCCTGCAGGTGGACCGCACCACCCTGAGGACCAAGATCTCCATCCCTCAGTCTGTGCGCCAGGACAAAGGAAACTACAAACTGTACGCCGAGAACATGTACGGCAAAGCCGCGCACACCATCCGCGTCGAGATCCTCGGTAAGGCCCACGACAAACCTGCTCTAGTCCTGGTCAAGTCCTGGTCTGGTCTCGGTTTAGTCCTGTTTATTCTTCTTCTTCTTCTGACCCTCCCTGTGTCCGTCAGACCGGCCGCTCCCTCCCAGGAACGTGGTGATTTCCGACGTGCGTTCGGACTCGTGTTATCTGACCTGGGACGCGCCCGAGGACAACGGCGGCTCTGACATCACCAATTACATCGTCGAGAAACGCGACGCCAGCAAAAAGAAATCTGACTACGACGTGCTGACGGTGAACCTGATCGACCGGCGCTACGGAGTAAGAACCGGACGCCACGTACAACATACAAATAATAAATAATATAAATAATACAAATAATATAAATAATACAAATAATACAAATAATAAATAAATAATAATAAATAATACAAATAATACAAATAATATAAATAATACATAATAATATAAATAATATAAATAATACAAATAATAAATATAATAAATAATACAAATAATATAAATAATATAAATAATACAAATAATAATAATAAATAATATAAATAATACAAATAAAAATAAATAATAAATAATAATATAAATAATACAAATAATACAAATAATAAATAATATAAATAATACAAATAAATAAATAAATAATACAAATAATATAAATAATATAAATAATACAAATAAATAAATAAATAATAAATAATACAAATAAATAATATAAATAATATAAATAATACAAATAAATAAATAATACAAATAATATAAATAATAAAATAATATAAATAATACAAATAATATAAATAATACAAATAATAAATATATAAATAATACAATAATATAAATAATACAAATAATACAAATAATAAATAATATAAATAAATAATACAATAAATAAATAATACAATAAATAATATAAATAATACAAATAATATAAATAATACAAATAATATAAATAATACAAATAATACAAATAATACAAATAATAAATAATATAAATAATACAAATAATATAAATAATACAAATAATATAAATAATACAATAAATAATATAAATAATACAAATAATATAAATAATAAATAAATAATAAATAATATAAATAATATAAATAATAAATAAATAATACAAATAATAATAAATAATATAAATAATACATAAATAAATAAATAATATAAATAATACAAATAAATAATAATAAATAATAATATAAATAATACAAATAATATAAATAATATAAATAATACAAATAATATAAATAATACAAATAATATAAATAATACAAATAAATAATAATAAATAATATAAATAATACAAATAATACAAATAATATAAATAATACAAATAATACAAATAATATAAATAATAAATAAATAAATAATACAATAATAAATAATACAAATAATATAAATAATATAAATAATATAAATAATATAAATAATACAAATAATACAAATAATAATAAATAATACAAATAATATAATATAAATAATATAAATAATAATACAAATAATAAATAATATAAATAAATAATATAAATAATACAAATAATATAAATAAATAATATACAGAGAACGTAGAAAGAACGTAGAACATTTATAGAACATACACTGAACATATATACACACTTATATATATGTTTTATATATATAATATAATGTATATAATATAATATGATATGATATAATATAATAAATATACAATAAAATAATATATATAATAAATATAATCTGTATGTTTTATGTTTATTCACTCACGTGTCCTCCGCAGGGGTACTATCTGCAGTGTTCCTATAATAACTCGTGTGTCCTTCCCAGGTGTACAAACTGGACTTTAACGGACAGTTCCAGTTCAGGATCAAAGCAGAAAACAAATACGGCGTGAGCGACGGCTGCGAGTCGGAGAAGGTGCAGCTCCGTGACCCGTTCGGACTTCCCGGACCTCCCAGAAACCCTCAGATCATCGCCGCCACCGCCACCACCATGACGGTGACGTGGGAGCCCCCGCTGGAGAACGGCGGCTCGTCGATCCAGGGTTACTGGCTGGAGAAGCGCGAGCGCGGCGCCGTGTACTGGGGGCGGGTCAACCGCAGCCCCGTCACCAAACCGGCCGTGCGCGGTCTGCAGTACACCATCCTGCGCCTCATCGAGGGCACCGAGTACCAGTTTAGAGTCGCCGCCCAGAACGCCGCCGGCGTAGGACCCCCGAGTGAAGGAACACAGTGTCGCTTCGCCGTCGACCCCTGCAGTGAGTACTGCAGAGTACTGCAGAGTACTACAGAGTACTACAGAGTACTGCAGAGTACTACAGAGTACTGCAGAGTACTGCAGAGTACTACAGAGTACTACAGAGTACTACAGAGTACAGAGTACAGAGTACAGAGTACTACAGAGTACTGCAGAGTACTACAGAGTACTACAGAGTACTGCAGAGTACTACAGAGTACTACAGAGTACTACAGAGTACTACAGAGTACTGCAGAGTACTGCAGAGTACTACAGAGTACTACAGAGTACTGCAGAGTACTGCAGAGTACTACAGAGTACTGCAGAGTACTGCAGAGTACTACAGAGTACTACAGAGTACTGCAGAGTACTGCAGAGTACTGCAGAGTACTACAGAGTACTACAGAGTATACTGCAGCATACAGCAATAGTAGTAGTAGCAGTAGTAGTAGCAGCAGTAGCAGTAGTAGTAGTAGTAGCAGCAGTAGCAGTAGCAGTAGTAGTAGCAGTAGCAGTAGTAGTAGCAGTAGTAGCAGTAGCAGCAGTAGCAGTAGCAGTAGTAGTAGCAGTAGCAGTAGCAGCAGTAGCAGTAGCAGTAGTAGTAGTAGTAGTAGCAGTAGCAGTAGTAGTAGTAGCAGCAGTAGCAGTAGTAGTAGTAGTAGCAGCAGTAGCAGTAGCAGCAGTAGTAGCAGTAGCAGTAGTAGTAGTAGTAGTAGCAGTAGCAGTAGCAGTAGCAGTAGCAGTAGTAGCAGTAGTAGTAGTAGCAGTAGTAGTAGTAGTAGTAGCAGTAGTAGTAGCAGTAGTAGTAGCAGTAGTAGCAGTAGCAGTAGTAGTAGTAGTAGCAGTAGCAGTAGTAGCAGCAGTAGCAGCAGCAGCAGTAGTAGCAGCAGTAGCAGTAGTAGTAGTAGCAGTAGTAGCAGTAGTAGTAGCAGTAGCGTAGTAGTAGTAGTAGTAGTAGTAGTAGCAGTAGCAGTAGTAGTAGTAGCAGTAGTAGTAGTAGCAGTAGCAGTAGCAGTAGCAGTAGCAGTAGTAGTAGTAGTAGTATGATGCCCTCTCTTCACTCGCTCCTCGCCTCTCCGCAGACCCGCCTGGGCCTCCTCTGGACCTGCAGGTGCGGGATAAGACCAAGTCGACGGTGAGTCTGAGCTGGAGTCCTCCGGAGAAGGACGGCGGCGCCCCGGTGCGCGGGTACGTGATCGAAGCCCACGAGGAGGGCATGGCCGAGTGGAAACGCCTGACCACCCCCGAAAAACCGCACATCGTCACCGACTTCGTCGTCCCCAACCTCCGCGAGAACCGCAAAGCCCGTTTCAGAGTGTACGCCGTGAACGCCGCCGGCCTGTCCGAGCCCGCCGTCACCAAAGACGTCATGGTGCAGGACATCCTGAGTGAGTACTGGGTTTAGACCGGGTTCAGACCGGGTTCAGACCGGGTTTAGACCGGGTTCAGACCGGGTTTAGACCGGGTTCAGACCGGGTTCAGACCGGGTTCAGACCGGGTTCAGACCGGGTTCAGACCGGGTTTCAGACCGGGTTCAGACCGGGTTCAGACCGGGTTTAGACCGGTTTCAGACCGGGTTTAGACCGGGTTCAGACCGGGTTTAGACCGGGTTCAGACCGGTTTTAGACCGGGTTTAACCCTGCTCTCTCTCTGTTCCAGTCGAGCCCATGTTGACCCTTGACCTCAGCGCTAACGAGCTGCTGAACATTCGCGCTGGGACGACGCTGCAGATCCCCGTGTCCGTGAGCGGGCGCCCGCTGCCCAACATCACCTGGACCTACGACGGAACCGCCGAGACCGAGAAGAAGAACGAGAGACACACACTGCCCCTGGACGCTGAGGTCTCAGTCCTGGTTTAGTCCTGGTTTAGTCCTGGTTTAGTCCTGATTTAGTCCTGGTTTAGTCCTGGTTTAGTCCTGTTTAGTCCTGATTTAGTCCTGATTTAGTCCTGGTTTAGTCCTGGTTTAGTCCTGGTTTAGTCCTGATTTAGTCCTGATTTAGTCCTGGTTTAGTCCTGGTTTAGTCCTGATTTAGTCCTGATTTAGTCCTGGTTTAGTCCTGGTTTAGTCCTGATTTAGTCCTGATTTAGTCCTGGTTTAGTCCTGGTTTAGTCCTGGTTTAGTCCTGATTTAGTCCTGGTTTAGTCCTGGTTTAGTCCTGGTTTAGTACCTCTTTAGACCTGTTTTAGTCCTGGTCCTGACCCAGTTCTGGTTGCTTCAGATCTACACGTCGGACACAAAGACGGAGGTTGTGATCTCGGAGTCTAAGATGTGCCACACCGGCCGTTACATCATCAACGGCGAGAGCCCAGCCGGACACAAGGTCCTGAAGGTCCGGGTCAACGTGCTCGGTGAGTCCTGCCCCAAACCGGACCGGGTCTAGACCAGAATTAGACCTGCTTCAGACCTGGTTTAATCCTGGTTTAGACCTGGATTTAGTTGAGTTTCGCTTGTATTTGTTGAGAATCTCTGAAGCTCGTCTTTAATCCTCTGACCTCTGACCCCTGACCACAGACCTGCCCGGCGCGCCCAGGGACCTGAAGGTCAGCGACGTGACTCGAGGCACCTGCAGACTGACCTGGAAACCTCCTGAGAGCGACGGAGGAGAACACATCAAGAGCTACTTCATCGAGAAGAAGACCACCACCGGCAAGGCCTGGACCAAGGTCTGGACCAGGACTAAACCAGGACTAAACCAGGACTAAACCAGGACTAAACCAGGACTAAAACAGGACTAAACCAGAACTGAAACTGGACTGAAACTGGACTATTATTGGTCTAAAACATCAGACTATAAAGACCAGCACCCAGTGGGACAAAGCTTGGATCTGAACCAGACTTAACGGGTCCTTTTGGCAGGTGAACCCGACCTGCTCGGCCCAGTCCCTGGTGGTACCGGACCTGATCGACGGGCAGGAGTACATCTTCAGGGTCAAGGCTGAGAACCGCTTTGGGTTTGGACCCTACACCGAGACCCCCGACGGAACCAGAGCCAGAGATCCCATCCGTAAGTCCGCCTAAAACCCTCCGAACCAGAGCCAGAACCAGACCAGAACCAGGGCCATACAAGAGCTAGTCCAGTCCTAGTCCAGTCCTAGCCCAGTCCTAGCCCAGTCCTAGTCCAGTCCTAGTCCAGTCCTAGCCCAGTCCTAGTCCAGTCCTAGTCCAGTCCTAGTCCAGTCCAGTCCTAGCCCAGTCCTAGTCCAGTCCTAGTCCAGTCCTAGTCCAGTCCTAGTCCTAGTCCTAGTCCTAGTCCAGTCCTAGTCCAGTCCTAGTCCAGTCCAGTCCTAGTCCAGTCCTAGTCCAGTCCTAGTCCAGTCCTAGTCCAGTCCTAGTCCAGTCCTAGCCAGTCCTAGTCCTAGTCCAGTCCAGTCCTAGTCCAAGTCCTAGTCCAGTCCTAGTCCAGTCCTAGTCCAGTCATAGCCCAGTCCTAGCCCAGTCCTAGTCCAGTCCTAGTCCAGTCCTAGCCCAGTCCTAGTCCAGTCCTAGTCCAGTCCTAGTCCAGTCCTAGCCCAGTCCTAGTCCAGTCCTAGTCCAGTCCTAGCCCAGTCCTAGTCCAGTCCTAGTCCAGTCTTAGTCCTGGTTTGTGTGATTTTTGAGCACTTGTCTAAGCCCCGCCCCCTGTGCCCGCAGACCCACCGGACCCGCCCACTCGTCTGAAGATTGTTGGCGTGAAGAAGGGCGTGGTGTCCCTGAGCTGGAAGGCCCCGAAGAACGACGGGGGCGCACCTGTCACCCACTACAGCGTGGACCTGCTCTGCTGGGACGCCAGCGGGGCGCAGAAGGAGGGCTGGATGAGGTACTGCCCCCGGGGGAGGGTACGGGGGGGGGCAGAGGGGGGCAGAGGGCGGGTACAACGGGAGAATGCCAGGGGGCACAGAGAGGGGGGGTGATGCCACCAGGTGCGCCTCGTTCCCTCACATCGTGACGTCATGTGGTGATGTCATGTGGTGACGTCATGTGGTGATGTCATGTGATGATGTCGTGTTTCAGGTGTAACCGTAGAGACGTGGAGTCGACTCACTTTAAGGTGGAGGATTTGAAAGAAGGCGACGAGTACGAGTTCAGAGTGACGGCCTACAACCAGGCCGGACCGAGCCGACCGTCCACCACCGTCGGACCCATCCTGATCCAGGACCAGACCTGTGAGTCCTGCTTTAGTCCTGCTTTAGACCTGCTTTAGTCCTGCTAAAGTCTTGGTTTAGTCTTGGTTTAGTCTTGGTTTAGTCCTGCTTTAGTCTTGGTTTAGTCCCAGTCTAATCCCGGCGTTTTCCCAGGCGCTCCGTCCATCGAACTGGAGGAGTTCTTGGAGTCGGAGCAGGGTCGGGAGATCCATATTGTGGCAAAGATCCGCGGGTGCCCGTTCCCGACTCTGACCTGGTACAAGGCTCCGCCCCACAAACCCGACCTGAAGTCCGAGGTCCAGTACGACGAGAACATCAACAAGATGGTGTCGGACGAAACGTGCACGCTGCTGATCCAGAGGGCGATCCGCGCCGACACCGGCCTCTACACCCTCACCGCCACCAACAGCCTGGGCAAGGCCTCCAAGGAGATGAGGCTCAATGTCATGGGTGAGTCCTGGAACCAGTCCTGGAACTTGTCCTGGAACCAGTCCTGGTCCTGTTTAGGTCCCCAATGACCCACTTAAAAGGGAGATCCTGGTTTAGTCCTGATTTAGTCCTAGTTCATTCCTGGTTTAGAACCCTACAGAACCCTAACAGAACCGTTGCTCTGTGCCCAGGCCGGCCTGGTCCTCCCTCCGCTCCCATTAAGTTTGAAGAGATCGGCGCAGAGAAGATCACGCTGTCCTGGCTTCCGCCCAAAGACGACGGCGGCTCCAAACTCACCAACTACGTGATCTGGCGGCGCGTGGCGAACCGGAAGACGTGGGTCCAGGTGACGAGCGAACCCAAAGAGCGGATCTGGACCGTGGAGAACCTGATGGAAGGACACGAGTACGTCTTCAGGATCATGGCCCAGAACAAGTACGGTGTCGGAGAACCTCTGGACTCTGAGCCTGAGGTGGCACGAAACATCTGCTGTGAGTACAACGGGTTTAGTCCTGGTTCAGTATTGGTTCAGTCCTGGTTTAGTCCCGGTTCAGTCCCGGTCTAACCTTCTCTCTCTCAGTGCCGCCGGGTCAGGTGGAGAAGCCGACCGTCACTGGGGTGACGCTGGATTCGATGACGGTGAACTGGGAGGAGCCGGAGGACGACGGCGGCTCGCCCATCACCGGGTACTGGCTGGAGCGGAAGGAGACGACGGGCAAGAGGTGGACGCGCGTGACCCGTGAGCCCATCCGCCCCATGGGTCTGGGCGAGAGCTTCTGCGTCACCGGCCTCATTGAGGGCTCTCAGTACCTGTTCAGAGTCACCGCCCTAAACGCCGCTGGACCCGGTCTGCCCAGCCCGCTCACTGACCCCGTGTTCGCCCGCGACCCCATCTGTGAGTCACACGCCGCATCACCAATCAGAACGCAGCACCCGCACACACTGACCGATCCCCTCGCTCCTCTCTCTAGCCCCGCCCTCGCCGCCCACGCCCAAGGTCTCTGACTGGACCAAATCCACCGTGGACCTGGAGTGGATCCCGCCCCTGAAAGACGGCGGCTCCAAGATCCAGGGATACTGGGTCGAGTACAAGGAGGAGGGCACCGAGGCCTGGGTCAAGGTCTGTACCTGTACCAAGGTCTGGGTTTAGTCCGGGTCTACGCCTGGTTTAGACCCAGTTAGCCCTGGTTTAGTCCTGGTTTAGTCCTGGTTTAGTCCTGGTTCAGTCCAGGTTTAGTCCTTGTTTAGTCTGGTTCATAACCCGTCTTGTCCTCAGGCCAAAGACACAGAGGTGCGTGGAACTCGTCTGGTGATCACAGGACTGAAGACCGGAGGAAAGTATCGCTTCAGAGTCTCCGCCTTCAACACGGCGGGCATCGGCGAGCCCGGAGAGGTGCCCGAGGTGCTGGAGGTCCAGGACCGCACCAGTGAGTCCTGCTTTAGTTCTGCTTTAGACCTGGTTCAGTTAGTTTTTATTGTCTAACTCCCTCTCTTCATCTCTTTTGCTTTTTTTCTCTCCATCCGTCTGTCAGTCTCGCCGGAGGTGGACCTGGATGCGTCTCTGAAGGAGCGGATCGTGGTTCATGCCGGGGGGGTGATTCGTCTCATCGCTTACATCAGCGGAACGCCGGCGCCCGAGGTCACGTGGAGCCGGGACGGCGCCGCGCTGCCCCCGGAGGCCAAAGTGGAGACAACGGGCATCAGCTCATCTCTGGTCATCAAACCGTGCGCCCGCAAACACCTGGGCGTGTACAGTGTGACCGCCAAGAACGCGGGCGGCGAGAAGCACCGCACCGTGACGGTCGAGGTCCTCGGTACGTCCTGATTCTGAACAGAGTAAACAGTACCTCCTGTTAGCGCTGCCAGGGTTTATTTAAGAAAGATTAATCTGTTTACTAATATGTAAAGTGCTCAGTGCTCATAACCCCCCGTACCGCCTGGGTTCCACTGCCCTAAACGCTCGCCCGCTTCTCATGGTGCTCGTGTGCCCTCTCTCCGCAGACGTGCCCGGCGCAGTGGGCATCCCCGTCACCGTGGAGAACCTGAGCGCCGACTCGTGTAAGATGAACTGGTTCTTCCCTGAGAACGACGGCGGCTCGCCCATCAGTAACTTCGTGGTGGAGAAGCGGGAGGCGGAGCGTAAGGCGTGGACGTCGGTCTCGTACTCGGCGAGTCGCCAGAACGCCATCCTGACCGGACTCACCCCGGGAAAAGCCTACTTCTTCAGAGTGGCGGCAGAGAACGCCATCGGCCTGGGACCGTTCGTCCAGACCGCCGCCGACATCATCGTCCAGGAGCCAATCAGTGAGTCCGGGAGAGGGCTGGGGCTAGACCGGGGTTAGACCTGGTTTAGTCCTGGTTTAGACCTGGTTCAGTCCTGGCATAGTCCTGGTTTAGTCCTGGTTCAGTCCTGGTATAGTCCTGGTTTAATTCTGGTCCAGTCCTGGTCCTGGTCTTATGTTTCTCACCCTCTTTTTCTCTCCAGGCGTGCCTGACCGCCCCGAGGACCTGGAGGTGACCAAAGTGACCAAAGACCTGATCAGCGTGACGTGGAAGGCTCCGAAGTCGGACGGCGGGTCGGAGATCACCATGTACATCCTGGAGGGACGCCAGATAGGCAAAGACAAGTTCAGCCGCCTGACCAAAGAGACGCTGATGGAGAGAAAGTTCACGCTGGACGGACTCCGCGAGGGCGACACCTACCAGTTCAGGGTGATCGCCGTCAACGAGGTGGGACCCGGCAAGCCCAGCTTCTGCACCAAACCCATCACCTGCAAGGACGAGCTCGGTGAGGAACGCCGGGGAGCACTGCACCCCCTCTTTAAAGCCCCACAGAGGTATAATTGCCCCTCTTGTGCCCGCAGAGCCGCCCACCATTGAGCTGGACTTCAGAGATAAGATCATCATCCGCGTGGGCGAGAGCTGCCTGCTCCAGGGCCGGTACAGCGGCAAGCCGTGCCCGTCCATCGTGTGGTACCGCGACGACGAGGAGCTGAAGGCCGACCAGCACGTGATGTTCAGGAACACGCTGAGCACCATGTCCCTGGGACTCATGAAGGCCCAGAGGCACCACAGCGGCCGCTATGTGGTGGTGGTTGAGAACAGCACCGGGGCGCGCAAGGGCATCTGTAACGTCACCGTCGTGGGTAAGAACCTGACCACACACCCCTGGCAAGAACCCGACCACACCCCAAAACACACTTCCCCAACCACAATCTCCGGCAAAAACCTAACCCCACCGTGACCACACCTCGACCACACCCCTCCGGCTACTCCTGACCTGGGACCTGGGACTTGGCCGTTTCCTTTGCAGTTTTATCTGAACAATAACCACATGGACTAATCCTCTTCCCCCTTCCCCCCAGACCGCCCCACTCCGCCCGTGGGTCCCGTGATCTTCGACGAGGTGCACAGGGAGTACATGGTGGTGTCGTGGAAACCTCCTCTGGACTCCGGCGGCGTCGACGTCTCCAACTACATCATCGAGAAAAGAGACACCAACCGTGACGCCTGGACCACCGTGACATCCGCCACCACCAAGACCACCTGCAAGGTCTGTGTGCTCACCCAGACCTGCCGGGAACCTGTCAGAAACCTGCCGGGAACGTGTCAGAAACCTGCCGGGAACCTGTCAGAAACCTGTCAGGGCTGTGTTTGGAGTCAGATGGGTTTAGACCTGGGTTAGTCCTGGTTTAGTCCTGGTTCAGTTCTCTCTTAGACCTGTTTTAGTCTTGGTTTAGACCTAGTTCAGTCCCGGTTCAGTCCTCTCTTAATCCTGGTCTAGACCTGGTTTTAGTCCCTGTTTTCTCGCCGTAGATTCCCAAACTGGTGGAGGGCCGTGAGTACATCATCCGGATCTCGGCGGAGAACATGTACGGCATCAGCGACCCTCTGGAGTCCGAAGAGATGAGAGCCAAGGACCTCTTCAGTAAGACTCCGCCCTCAGATGTTCAGATGTTTCTTCAGGTTCTCCAGGTTCTTGTCCTAACCCTCCCGTCCCCGCAGGAGTCCCCGAGGCGCCTGAGCAGCCCACCGTCAGAGAGGTCTACGGCACCAACGCCCTGGTGCTGTGGTCGCGCCCGCGAGACGGAGGGAAGCCCATCCTCAACTACATCCTGGAGAAGAAGGAGGTGGGCGCCAAGAGGTGGTCGAGGGTCACGCGCGAGCAGCTGTACCCGCAAACCCAGTACCGGGTCAACGACCTGGTGGAAGGCTGCGAGTACGAGTTCAGAGTGACCGCCGAGAACGAGCTGGGCACCGGGGACCCCAGCCCGCCCAGCCAGCCCATCCTCGCCAAGGACCCCATCGGTAAGTCATGAAACAGGACAAAAGGCGCCACGGACCCGGACCTGGACCCTGAACCTGCCCCTGACTGTGCCCCTGCCCCTGTCTGTGCCCCTGTCTGTGCCCACAGAGGACCCATGGCTCAGGGTCAGGGCACATGTATAACTGTACCCGTTTGTGCCCGCAGTGCCGCCCAGCCCGCCCGTCACTCCTGAGTCGTACGATAAGACCAAGGACTCGGTCAGTCTGCGCTGGAAGCAGCCGCGCCACGACGGCCGAGGGCGGATCTTCGGGTACCTGGTGGAGTACCAGAAACCGGGCGCCGTGGAGTGGATCCAGGCCAACGAGAAGCCGGAGCAGTGCCCAGGTCTGGACTACACCGTCACCGGACTCTCCGACCAAAACGAGTACAAATTCAGGATCTACACCGTCAACGCCGCCGGCAAATCTGACCCCGCCTACGTCAAGGAGATCATCAAGGTCCACGACAGACTCGGTAAGATCCTGGTCAGATCCTGGTCAGATCCTGGTCAGATCCTGGTCAGATCCTGGTCAGTTTCTGGTCAGATCCTGGTCTTCCTGCTGTTGCCGGGCAGATCTGACCTGATCATGTTTCTTTGTTTTTCGCAGAGGCTCCTGAGCTCCTATTGGACGCCAACATGTCACGTGACCACCTGGCGATGGTGGGCACGGACATCACCCTGAGCGCCCTGATCCGCGGCGTCCCGACCCCGACCGTCCAGTGGCAGAAGGAGGGCGGAGACATGCCCGCCCACCTGACCGTCGCCGTGACCGAGTCTGGAACCAAAGTGTTCATCCCCAAAGCCACGAGGAAAGACTCTGGGAAGTACACGCTGACGGCCGAGAACGCGGCAGGAAAGAAGAGCGCCACCGTCAACGTGCTGGTGCTCAGTGAGTACTGCAGGACCTGTTTTAGTCCTGGTTTAGTCTTGGTACAGTCCTGGTTTAGTCCTGGTACAGTCCTGGTTTAGTTTAACCCGGAGTTCTTTTCCTCAGACAAGCCCACGCCTCCTCGGGACCTGGCGGTGTCTGAGATCACCAGCGAGTCGGCGTACCTGACGTGGAAGGTGCCCGAGGACGACGGTGGCGCGGTCATCTCGCACTACGTGGTGCAGAAGAAGGACGTGGCGGCGGACGCCTGGGTCCCGGTGGCAGCGGCCAATAAGAAGCTGAGTCTGATGGCGCTTTACCTGATGGAGGGAATCCAGTACCTGTTCAGAGTCGCCGCCGAAAACCAGTTTGGACGCAGCGACTTCGTGATCACCAAGACCCCGATCAAAGCCGTGGACCCACTGTGTGAGTGAGACCGGACAGGTTTAGACCGGGTTTAGATCTGATATAGTCCTGGTTTAGACTTGGTTTAGACTTGTTTTAGATCTGGTTTTAACCCTCTCCTCTCCACAGACCCGCCTGGGCCTCCTAAGAACCTGCACCACACCGATGCTGAGAAAACGGAGGTGTGGCTGCAGTGGGAGTGGCCAGAGCGCACCGGAGGAAGTGACATCACCGGGTTCATCGTGGAGTACCAGGAGGACGGGCAGGCGGACTGGGTAACGTTCAAAACCGTCACGTCGGAGAAGGCGCACGTGACCGGCCTGGAGGAGGGAAAAACCTACCGCTTCAGAGTCAAAGCACAGAACGCCATCGGGGTGAGCCGCCCCGACACCAGCGTGCCCGTCACCTGCCAGGAGAAAACACGTGAGTGCCCCGACGCCAAACACGACCGAACACAACCAAACAAGACCGAATACGACTGAGTGAACCCAAGCAAACCCTGCGGTGCCCTGCGCCCGCTGTCATGAACAGTGTGATCTTTAAACAGTTATTACCATGTTATTACCTGATAATATCATGAATATTCTTAACGTGTTTCTCTCGCCGCAGTGCCTCCCACCATCGAGGTCGATGTCAAACTTATCGAGGGGCTGGTGGTTAAAGCTGGCACCACCATCGCGCTCCCTGCTCGCCTCACTGGCATTCCCATGCCCACCGCCAAATGGAGCAGTGATGGCAAAGAGATGGCGTCCGAGGGCCGCGTCGCCATAGAAACGGTGGGCTCCAACACGCTGCTGACCATCTCAGAGAGTCAGCGCGGCGACACCGGCGAGTACATCGTCTCTGCCTCCAACCCCGCCGGCTCCAAGAGCGTGGCTCTGCACGTGACCGTCTTGGACCTGCCCGGGCCGCCCATCGGCCCCATCAACATCCTGGAAGTCACGCCCGAGTTCATGATGGTGCAGTGGCGCCCACCGAAAGATGACGGCGGCACGCCCATCACCAACTACGTGGTGGAGAAGAAGGACGTGAAGAAGCCGTGGGAGCCGTGGAGTGTGGTGAGCTCTGGCGGCATGGCCACCAAAGCCAAAGTGTCCCGTCTGGAGAAAGGGCGCGAGTACATCGTCCGAGTCAGAGCCGAGAACCGCATCGGTATTGGCGCTCCGCTTGAGAGCCCGCCCACCATCGCCAAACACATGTTCAACCCGCCGGGACCGCCCGGCCCGCCCGAATGCTCCGACATCACAGAGAACGCCGTGACCATAGAGTGGGCACTGCCCGACTACGACGGCGGCAGCCCCATCAGCGGCTACGTGATCGAGCGCCGCGAGATGACGGGCAAATGGATCCGCGTCAACAAGACACCGGTGCTGGACCTGCGCTACCGCGTGTCCGGCCTCTGTGAAGGAAACACCTACGAGTTCAGAGTCTTCGCTGAGAACGTGGCGGGCATCAGCGAGCCCTCGCTGAGCTCTGATCCCGTCAAAGCGGCGCGTGCCCTCTCCCGCCCCGGACCACCCCTGAACCTCAAACTCAAAGACTGGAGCAAGTCCTACGCCGACATCTGCTGGACCAAGCCCACACGCGATGGCGGCAGCCCCGTGATCGGCTACGTGGTGGAGGCGCAGAAGTCCGGCACTGCGCAGTGGGACCGCATCAACAAAGATCTGATTAAGATGTGCGCGTACAGAGTCCCCGGCCTCATCGAGGGACTCGAGTACCGCATCCGCGTCAGAGCCACCAACCTGATCGGAGACAGCGAGCCGCGAGAGCTGCAGGAGGTGGTTCTGGCCAAAGACATCCTGGTGCCTCCCGAGGTCACCGTCGACGTGTCCTGCAGAGACTCGCTGACCGTCAGAGCCGGTCAGATCATCAACCTCATCACCAGGGTCAAAGGTCGCCCCGACCCCGAGATCACCTGGACCAAAGACGCCCGCGCCCTCGGCCGTGACAAACGCACCGACTTCATCAATAACTACCCTCTGTGCGAGCTCGTTATCAACGACGCCGTGCGCTCTGACTACGGTAAGTACGCCATCGTGGCGAAGAACAGCAGCGGGCAGGCGCAGGCCACCGTCATCGTCAATGTCCTGGACACGCCCGGGCCCTGCCAGAACATCAAAGTTGCCTACGTCACCAAGAACTCCTGCATGGTCTCCTGGGAGAACCCCGAGGACAACGGTGGCACGGAGATCACTCAGTACATCATCGAGAGCCGCCAGCCCAGCCAAAGGAACTGGACTCTGGTGTCCAATGACTGCACCAAGCGCCTGTTCAAAGCGCCGCTCACGGAGGGCTGCGAGTACTTCTTCAGAGTCAGCGCCGAGAACAAGATCGGAGCTGGACCGCCCACCGAGTCCAAGAATGCCGTGCTGGCCGTGGACCCCATCGAGAAGCCTGGAGAGCCTCTGGACTTCCAGATCGCAGAAATTGGAAAAACCTTCTGCTTCCTCAAGTGGAGGAAACCCGACTACGACGGAGGAAGCAAAAACCTGGCCTACCACGTGGAGAAGAAGCCCAAAGAGGCCGAGGAGTGGGAACGCATCCACAAGGGGGCAATCAAGGAGACGTACTTCATGGCCGACAGGTTTGTACTGTGTACAAGTACTACTACTACACCCAAAGTATTTCTATGTGGTACTCCATGTACTCTGTGTCGCTATTGTATTTTTACTCTTACTTGTACCTGGCCCGCCGCAGGTGCCTGGAGAACCAGCTGTACCAGTTCCGTGTGCAGACGAAGAACGAGGGCGGTGAGAGCGGGTGGGTGACCTCCGCCGAGGTCCTGGTGAAGGAGCAGATCCTGGAGCCGTCGGTGACGGTGAAGCCGGCCGAGCTGCTGGTGGTGAGGGCCGGCGACTCCATCAGTCTGGAGGCCACGGTGAAAGGCAAACCCGCCCCCGAGCTCAAGTGGACCAGGGATGAGCGCACGGACGAGATCCGCCGAGGTCCAAGGCACCAGCTCGAGACCGGCGACCGGCGCCGACTTCTCCAAACTGTTCATCACGGCGGCGCGTAGAACCGACAGCGGCACCTACGTCATCACCGCCACCAACTCGGCCGGCACCGCCACAGGCCACGCCCGCGTCAACGTGCTGGACCGCCCCGGAGAGGTGCGCGACCTCAAGGTCTCTGGAGTTACCACCGATCGCTGCCACCTCACCTGGGAGGTGCCCGAGGACAACGGCGGCTGCGACATTTACAACTACATCATCGAGAAGTGCGACACCAAGAGAGGCGTGTGGTCCGTCCACTCCAACGCCGTCATCACCAACAAGGCCGTGGTCACCAGGCTCACCGAAGGTACGGGAGGGCATCTGACACACGGGAGGGCACCTGACACACGTGTGATGTCATCATGTTTTTCTCCTCCGTAGGAAACGCGTACATCTTCCGTGTGCGTGCGGAGAATAAGATGGGTCCTGGGCCGGCGGTGGAGAGCGAGTCCATCGTGGCGGGCACTCAGTTCAGCGTGCCGGGTACTCCAGATGCCCCGGAGGTAACCAAAATCGCCAAAGAGGAGATGACGGTGGAGTGGTGCGAGCCGGACCGCGACGGCGGCAAGCCCATCTCCGGGTACCTCCTGGAGAAACGCGAGGAGCACGCCGTCCGCTGGTCGCCCGTCAACAAGGACCCCATCCCGGGCACCCGCTTCACCGTGACCGGCCTGCTCCCTCTGCACGAGTACCAGTACCGCGTCAAGGCCGTCAACGAGATCGGCGTGGGCGGAGCCAGCAAACCCTCGCGCGCCATCACCGCCAAAGACGCCGTGGGTGAGTGACGCTTGAAATGTCTGAAATACGATTGGTCTGTAGGATGTGTGATGTCATCCGAGTCGCCTTCCCTTTGGCAGAGCCGCCGGCGCCGCCCACCGCGCTGAAGGTCCTGGACTCCACGCGCAGCTCGGTGACGCTGGGCTGGGTGAAGCCGGTGTCGGACGGAGGGGCGCCGCTCATCGGGTACGTGGTGGAGATGAGGCTCCAGGGCAGTAAGAAGGACGAGGGTTGGCGCCGCTGTAACGTGGCGGCGCAGCTCACCGCCTGCGAGTTCACCGTGTCCAGCCTCAACCCCGACCTCCTCTACGAGTTCAGAGTCTCCGCCCAAAACCAGGTGGGCATGAGTCTGCCCTGCGACCTGGAGGCGCCCGTCATCCCCAAAGACATCCTGGGTAAGGCTCGTTTAGACCGGGTTTAGACCAGGTTTAGTCCGGGTTTAGTCCTGGTTTAGTTCTCACCCTCCTCTTGGTTTCCACAGAGGCGCCGGAGATCGACCTGGACGCGTCCCTGAAGCAGGGGCTGGTGGTGCGCGCCGGGTGCCCGATCCGTCTGGTGGCGACGATCCGCGGGCGTCCGCACCCGGAGGTGACGTGGCGCCGCATGGGCATCGATAACGTGGTGAGGAAGGGCAGAGTCGACCTGATCGACACCATGACCTTCCTCCTGATTCCAGACTCCACCAGAGACGACTCCGGAAAATACTGCCTGACCCTGCGCAACCCGGCCGGAGAAAAGGCCGTGTTCGTCGCCGTCAAAGTCCTCGGTGAGTCCAGGTGTAGACCGGGTCTAGATCCTCTTTTAGTCCCTTTTAGACCAGGTTCATTCTATTAGACCCTGTTTAGTCCAGTTCTAGACCTGGTTCTGGTCTCTCGGCAGACACGCCCGGCCCGGTGCAGAACCTGGAGGCGTCGGACATCATGCAGACGTCGCTGGCGCTGGCGTGGAGCCCGCCGGAGGTGGACGGCGGCAGCGAGATCCTGCATTACCTGGTGGAGAAACGAGAAATCGACAGAAAGACCTGGGCCACGGTTAAAGGGGAGGTCTTAGCCGAGAACATCCCCTTTAAGGTGTCGGGGCTCCAGCCGGGCACCGAGTACTACCTCCGGGTCACCGCCGTCAACCAGTACGGCCCCGGAGTGCCCCGAGTCAGCCCCACCTCCTACGTGGCATCTGACCCCGTCAGTGAGTACCACTCACCCCGAGGAGGGCACTCACCACACACCCCGGGAGGGCACTCACCCCGAGGAGGACACTCACCACACACCCCGAGGAGGGCACTCACCCCGGGGAGGACACTCACCACACACCCCGGGGAGGGCACTCACCCCGGGGAGGACACTCACCACACACCCCGGGGAGGACACTCACCACACACCCCGAGGAGGGCACTCACCCCGGGGAGGACACTCACCACACACCCCGGGGAGGGCACTCACCCCGAGGAGGACACTCACCACACACCCCGGGGAGGGCACTCACCCCGAGGAGGACACTCACCACACACCCCGGGGAGGACACACTCACCCCGAGGAGGGCACTCACCACACACCCCGGGGAGGGCACTCACCCCGAGGAGGACACTCACCACACACCCCGGGGAGGGCACTCACCCCGAGGAGGACACTCACCACACACCCCGGGGAGGACACTCACCACACACCCCGAGGAGGGCACTCACCCCGAGGAGGACACTCACCACACACCCCGGGGAGGACACTCACCACACACCCCGGGGAGGGCACTCACCACACACCCCGGGGAGGGCACTCACCACACACCCGGGGAGGGCACTCACCACACACCCCGGGAGGACACTCACCACACACCCCGGGAGGGCACTCACCACACACCCCGAGGAGGACACTCACCACACACCCCGAGGAGGGCACTCACCACACACCCCGGGGAGGACACTCACCACACACCCCGGGGAGGGCACTCACCACACACCCCGGGGAGGACACTCACCACACACCCCGGGGAGGACACTCACCACACACCCCGAGGAGGGCACTCACCACACACCCCGGGGAGGGCACTCACCAACGCATATGTCTCAGAGCACCACACAGAGCCGGACACACACCGGCACATTTAGGCGCTTTGACAGATTTGTTGAACCATCAGACTCAGGACTAAAATAGAATTTTCTTGAGACTTGAGTCTGACCCGTGCCTCTCCTCAGGTAAACCGGACCCGTGTGAGAAGGTGGAGATCCTGGAGGTGAATCGCACCAACGTGACTCTGGCCTGGGTCAAACCGCTGAGAGACGGTGGAGCCAAGATCGACGGATACGTCATCGAGTACCAGGAGATGAAACCCCCGCCAGAACCCAAACCAGAACCCGAGCCCGCCGCCGAGGTCAGGGACCACATCTGGTTCAGTCCTGGTTTAGTCCTGGTTTAGTCCTGGTTTAGTCCTGTTTAGTCCTGGTTTAGACCTGGTTCAGTCCTGGTTTGGTCTGACGGTCTGTGATTGGTGCACAGGGAGAGGAGGGAGCTCCGCCCCCGGCCCCGGCCCCGCCCCCTCCAGAGGAGGAAGAGGAGGAGGAGGAGGAGGTGAAGAAGAAGGAGGAGGTGGTGTGGAACACCTACACGACGGTGAAGGGCCTGAGCGTCTCCGTGGGAGGACTGAAGGAAGGAAAACTCTACAAGTTCAGAGTCGCCGCCAAAAACATCATGGGCCTGAGCTCCTTCACCGAGACCAGAGACACTGTGGAGGCCAAGGAGCAGAGAGGTGAGGAAGAGGAGGAGGAGAGGAGGAGGAGGAGGAGAGGAGGAGGAGGAGGAGGAGGAGGAGGAGGAGGAGGAGGAGAGAGAGAGGAGGAGAGGAGGAGGAGGAGGAGGAGGAGGAGGAGGAGGAGGAGGAGGAGGAGGAGGAGGAGGAGGAGGAGGAGAGGAGAGGAGGAGGAGGAGGAGGAGGAGGAGGAGGAGGAGGAGAGAGGAGGAGAGGAGGAGAGGAGAGAGGGAGGAGGAGAGGAGGAGGAGGAGGAGAGGAGGAGGAGGAGGGAGAGGAAGAGGAGAGAGGAGAGGAGAGGAGAGGAGGAGGAGGAGAGGAGGAGAGGAGAGGAGGAGGAGGAGGAGAGAGAGGAGAGAGAGAGGAGGAGGAGGAGAGGAGGAGGAGGAGGAGAGGAGGAGAGAGAGGAGGAGAGGAGGAGGAGAGGAGGAGAGGAGAGAGAGGAGGAGAGGAGGAGGAGAGGAAGAGGAGAGAGAGGAGGAGGAGGAGGAGAGGAGAGGAGGAGAGGAGGAGAGAGGAGGAGGAGGAGGAGAGAGAGGAGGAGGAGGGGAGGAGGAGGAGAGGAGAGGAGGAGAGAGGAGGAGGAGGAGAGGAAGAGGAGGAGGAGGAGGAGGAGAGAGGGAGGAGGAGGAGAGGAGGAGGAGAGGAGGAGGAGGAGAGGAGGAGAGGAGGAGGAGAGAGGAGGAGGAGGAGGAGGAGGAGGAGAAGAGGAGAGAGGAGGAGGAGGAGAGGAGGAAGAGGAGAGAAGCAGCGTCTCTAAACCCTGTGTCTGTCTCTGTGTTTCTCTCCGTCTTTCTCTTTCTCCGTCTTTCTCTTCTCCGTCTTTCTCTTTCTCTCTCTTCAGTGGAGCCGAAGATCGTGATGGCGGAGACGGTCAGCGCCAGGGCCGGAGCCAAGCTGCGTGTGGAGGCCGTGGTGTCGGGAAAACCGCCGCCCGTCTGCAAGTGGAAACGCGGAGACGCCGCCGTGGTGTCGTCCAGCCGCCTCGCCGTCCACCAGTCCGCCAACCTCTGCGTCCTCATCATCAAAGACGTGTCCCGACTCGACAGCGGCGAGTACAGCCTCATCGCCGAGAACTCCTCCGGGTCCATCAGCCAGGCCCTCAAGGTCATCATCCGAGGTAAAAACATCTGACTGTACGACTAAAAACATCTGACTGTACGACTAAAAACATCTGAATATACGACTAAAAACATCTAAATATACGACTAAAAACGTATAAATATACGACTAAAAACATCTGAATATACGACTAAAAACATCTGAATATACGACTAAAAACATCTGACTGTACGACTAAAAACATCTGAATATACGACTAAAAACATCTGACTGTACGACTAAAAACATCTGAATAATGACTAAAACATCTAAATATACGACTAAAAACGTAAATATACGACTAAAAACATCTGAATATACGACTAAAAACATCTGAATATACGACTAAAAACATCTGAATATACGACTAAAAACATCTGACTGTAAGACTAAAAACATCTGAATATACGACTAAAAACATCTAAATATACGACTAAAAACGTATAAATATACGACTAAAAACATCTGAATATACGACTAAAAACATCTGACTGTACGACTAAAAACATCTGAATATACGATATACGACTAAAAACATCTGAATACGACTAAAAACACGACTAAAAACATCTGATACGACTAAAAACATCTAAATATACGACTAAAAACATCTAAATATACGATACGACTAAAAACATCTGAATATACGACTAAAAACATCTGATACGACTAAAAACATGACTGTACGACTAAAAACATCTGAATATACGACTAAAAACATCTGACATACGACTAAATCTGATACGACTAAAACATCTGAATATACGACTAAAAACACTGACTACGACTAAAAACATCTGAATATACGACTAAAAACACTGAAATATACGACTAAAAACATCTGACTGTACGACTAAAAACATCTGAATATACGACTAAAAACGACATACTGAATATACGACTAAAAACATCTGAATATACGACTAAAAACACTATACGACTAAAAACATCTGAAAACATCTACGACTAAAAAACTAAAATACGACTTACGACTAAAAACATCTGAATATACGACTAAAAACATCTGACTGTACGACTAAAAATGTATACGACTAAAACAACTGAATATACGACAAAAATGTATAAATATACGACTAAAAACATGACTGTACGACTAAAAACATCTGAATATACGACTAAAAACATCTGAATATACGACTAAAAACATCTGACTCTACGACTAAAAACATCTGTATACGACTAAAAACATCTGAATATACGACTAAAAACACTGAATATACGACTAAAAACATCTGAATATACGACTAAAAACATCTGACTGTACGACTAAAAACATCTGAAATACGACTAAAAACATCTGACTGTACGACTAAAAACATCTGAATATACGACTAAAAACATCTGACTGTACGACTAAAAACATCTGACTGTACGACTAAAAACATCTGAATATACGACTAAAAACATCTGACTGTACGACTAAAAACATCTGAATATACGACTAAAAACGTATACGACTAAAAACATCTGAATATACGACTAAAAACATCTGAATATACGACTAAAAACATCTGACTGTACGACTAAAAACATCTGAATATACGACTAAAAACGTATAAATATACGACTAAAAACATCTGAATATACGACTAAAAACATCTAAAATCTGACTGTACGACTAAAAACATCTGAATATACGACTAAAAACGTATAAATATACGACTAAAAACATCTGACTGTACGACTAAAAACATCTGAATATACGACTAAAAACATCTAAATATACGACTAAAAACGTATAAATATACGACTAAAAACATCTGAATATACGACTAAAAACATCTGACTGTACGACTAAAAACGTATACGACTAAAAACATCTGAATATACGACTAAAAACGTATAAATATACGACTAAAAACATCTGACTGTACGACTAAAAACATCTGAATATACGACTAAAAACATCTAAATATACGACTAAAAACATCTGAATATACGACTAAAAACATCTGAATATACGACTAAAAACATCTGACTGTACGACTAAAAACGTATACGACTAAAAACATCTGAATATACGACTAAAAACATATAAATATACGACTAAAAACATCTGACTGTACGACTAAAAACATCTGAATATACGACTAAAAACATCTGACTGTACGACTAAAAACGTATACGACTAAAAACATCTGAATATACGACTAAAAACGTATAAATATACGACTAAAAACATCTGACTGTACGACTAAAAACATCTGAATATACGACTAAAAACATCTAAATATACGACTAAAAACGTATAAATATACGACTAAAAACATCTGAATATACGACTAAAAACATCTGACTGTACGACTAAAAACGTATACGACTAAAAACATCTGAATATACGACTAAAAATGTATAAATATACGACTAAAAACATCTGACTGTACGACTAAAAACATCTAAATATACGACTAAAAACATTTATATATGACTAAGAACATCTGAATATACGACTAAAAACATCTGAATATACGACTAAAAACATCTAAATATACGACTAAAAACATGTAAATGTACGACTAAAAACTTATAAATATTTATATGATCAATATAACAGGTCCTGAAGGTCGTCATCAGAGGTACGTCTAGAAATATAAAACAAGTAAAAACATGTAAATATGTAAAAACTATATGTATATAGTTTTATACACACAGTTTATACACACACAGGTTTAGACACACACAGTTTAGACACACACAGTTTATACACACACAGTTTATACACACACAGTTTAGACACACACAGTTTAGACACACACAGGTTTATACACACACAGTTTAGACACACACAGTTTAGACACACACAGACACACACAGTTTTACACACACAGTTTATACACACACAGTTTAGACACACACAGTTTAGACACACACAGTTTAGACACACACAGTTTAGACACACACAGGTTTAGACACACACAGTCGTTTATATTAAATATATATATATGTGTAGTGTGTATCTGTGCAGTTTAAACCTGTACCAGTAAAAACATTTATTTTATATACTGTAAATACTTCCTCCCTCAGACATCCCCGGGCCACCCGAGGGTCCCGTGGTGATCTCGGACATCGACTCGGACGCCTGTACTCTGTCGTGGAACAAACCCCTGGAGGACGGCGGCAGTAACATCACCAACTACGTGGTGGAGAAGTGTGACGTGAGCCGCGGGGACTGGGTGACCGCCGTGTCGTCCTGCCCCAAAACCGGCACCCGCCTCGGCAAGCTCATCCCCGGCAAAGAGTACCTGTTCAGAATCCGCGCCGAGAACCGCTACGGCGTGTCCGACCCGCTGCAGTCCGACCGCATGGTCGCCAAGTTCCCCTTCGGTGAGTCACTTTACCCCCGTGATTGGTACCCCTGCAGTAATATAAAGTACACGTGTGAGTACCCTGACCCCCCGTGTGCCCGCAGACGTGCCCAGCGAGCCTCTGAACTGCCGCATCAATAAGACCAATAAAGACTGTATGTTTGTGGCCTGGGATCGCCCCGAGAGCGACGGCGGCAGCCCCATCACCGGGTACTACATCGAGAGGAAAGAGCGGAACAGCCTGCTGTGGGTGAAAGCCAACGACACGGTGGTCCGCACCACAGAGTACCCCTGCGCCGGTCTCATCGAGGGACTGGAGTACACCTTCAGAGTGTCCGCCATCAACCGCGCCGGCCAAGGCAAACCCAGCGCCAAGACCGACTTTGTGACCGCCAGGACGCCCGTCGGTAAGACCGGACTCGCCCTGAACCTGTACCTGAACCTGTACCTGTGTTCTGCTGTTTATGATCTGACCTAAACCTGAAGCCTCTTCAAAAACACACCACTCACCTGTCGCTCTCACCTGTCTCACCTGTCTCACCTGTCGCTCTCTCTCCGCAGACTCACCTGGGAAGCCTGAGGTTCTGGACGTGACCAAGAACTCTGTGACTCTGGTGTGGACTCGGCCGAAGAACGACGGCG